AATCTACTAATAACTTCAATATAACATAATCTAACTATTATTAATAACAATATTAATACAAATATACAAAAATAGTTTATATAAAATTACCCTATTCTTTCATCCTTTAACTAACTCTTATTTCTAAATTCAAGGTTTTTCTTCTTTCTTTTCTTTAATTAGTAGTAGTTTTTTCTTAATTAACTTAAACTAGTTTATAAATAGAAAATTAAAGATAATATGTTTCACTAACTAGTGCATATATAGAAATTATAACAGTAGTTTAGACTTAATATCATCTTGATATTTATTATGTAAACTATTACTTTCTATATTTAATATATTAAATAAAAAAAAAAAATTTTTTTTCTAAATATTTTATAAGTTAGATTCTTTTAAATTTAGTTAGCTACTAAGTTAAGTTTATAATACTAAATTATAAATAAATATTTTTTGATTATAATAGTTTTTTTTATATAACAAACTTATTTACATATAATCTGATCTATATTTTTAAATAACAGTTTTCTTTTAGGTTAAGTATTTACTAGTTTAACTATTAAAAGCTATACTACTTTACTAACTTAAAATTTTTACTATACAAATCTTCTATTTATAGACTTAACTAAAATTTATTTGTATAATATTATATATACTTTTAATATCTAATTAATATTAGTATAACTTGATTTACAAAATTATAATTCTAAAAACAAATAGGTTTATTAAAAATTAGATATAAAAATTTAAGTAATTATTAAATTTTTTAAAAATAAGATTTAAACTTTAAACTTCTTATATAGTAGTCTAATAATTTAATTATTATATTAAGAATATTATATTAGAGGTTGAAATTAGTTTTAATAATTTGAGTTTATTATATGAATTTTGTAATATTTTGGAATTTCTTAAAATTTAATTAGATAGAATTCTAAAATATCATAAAATTCACATGATAAATCTGAATTATTAAAACTAGTTCTAATTTTTAGATTAGATCTAAAAAGTAACTAAATCTAAATTAAAAGAAATAGATAAATATATATAAAAAATAATAAGAACTTTATTTTATTTTTTTTATTTTATAACAAAACCTTATGCTAATTAGATAATGATAACTTATATATTTATCGCTTGTGGTGATCATCACTGGTGTGTAATTAGCCAATAAAATTGCAAGATTAAATGTAACGTGTAAATTAATTTTGTACAACAAAAACAGAGCTAATATCTCGAAATTCACTTATGAAATGATCTTTTGGGTTCTAATTAAAAAAATTTCTTACTAAATTTTCCATATAAATTAGTACTTTGCTAAATCTTAGGCCTTGCCCTAACCCAAAACTAAAAGAAATTAATTTTTGTTATATCGATATTAATTTACATGTACAACACTGCGGTGATGATTATCTGCGGCGATAAGAATTTTCTATTTAAAACTCTCACCGGGCAAACTTGGGTCGCATCTGACGCAATTTCGACGCAATAACATTATAAGGAATGTATCATATCATAATTAATCAAAACTATGTTAACAAATTTGTAAATCCGCTAAGTGCAGATTTTTTGACACTAATATACGGAATTCAATTGGTCAGAAGTTCTAAGTAATCTGAATAATAAAATGAATTGGTTAAGGATTTTGCAAAATTAGATGTTTAGGTTCACTAACCCGTTATTTTTCACTCAAAATTTTTTATATATCATAATCGTAGAGATAAGAACAAAATTACAGAAGAACTTTTTATATTATTAAAAAATTCGAGTAAAAAAAAATTAAATATATTATTTTACGCGAAATTTATATATCTTTGCTATAAATTGACACTCCGACTGATCTACAAGTTTCAGAAAATTTATTATTATCAATTTATCGATTGACCTTATATAGTTTTGATCAATTATGATATAGCGCACCCTAATGTAACCTAAACTATTCGGGATGGTCAAAACAAGTGACAATTAGTAACACAATAGGTATTTAACAACTTTATTCTTATTGTAAGACTAATCATCAATAGTTTGGGTTACATCCTTAACGTCAAATTTACCAGCATCGTAATTAAAATATCAGACACATGAAAAATCGACAAGAATAGATTTTAGCAGTTCTTATATAAAATTGTTCAAAGAAAAGACTTTAAATTAGAACACAAACATTGTTTTTCATTGAGCAAAATTTTAAAAAATAAACGAATTTTTCAAAATGAACGTTGTAATGGTCGATTTCGTTCGAAGAATGATCGACAAGTGAAATTTGGTAAATAAGCAATTAGTAAAATAGAAACGTTAATAATTTATTTAAAAAAAAAGGCAAAAAAAGAAAAATAACTCTGTTGAGTTCAAAACTTTGAAATTCAAATAGTAAAAGTCTTGAGTTCCTATATTACCCCTGTTAAAACATAAATTGTTTAATTTTTTGAACTTGTTTTAGTGAAGAAACCATGTTGTAAATATAGAAAAAAAAAAAGCGAAAGTGCCAAATTTGTTAATCAGTTTTTATGTATCCAATTCAGTGATAGAACGAAGATTGAGAAATTGATATTAAATAAAGGTAAAAGAAGAACGAAGTATACTGTAGATAAAAGAATACTTTATGTAACAATCATTCTAACCTAGAGCACTGACGCTAAGCGTTTTTCATAATTGGTAAATTATCACGTGATTATGAAAATTTAGCCAAGAACTAAAACTACGTAATCTAAGCAACGTATCGGTTCACCAACATAATAAATTTAAACAATTTCAGGTTAAATCCCTTTAAATTGTACTACGTAAAAAATGTTTAAACAAAACGGGTGTCAAAAACCTATCTTGGCAATCATAAAAAACATTGGGAAGACAATTCTAATTATAGCTCTAACCTCAAACTGACTATAACTCTTTATAAAATCATGAGCTGCTCTGCTTTAGCCTTCATTTCATAAAGGGTAATAACCCTAACTGCATTAGCGCCAATGTTATATGCTTGAACGTAATTATTGTAATTGAACATAGCACTGCATAAATTATTGTGATGATTTCCCCTGAACCCTTTTTATTGTTTATTTTATATAAATTAACTTTTTACCCTACGATATAACCATTGCATTATAAATAATGCAATAATTTTTATTTTTTATTAAAAAAAAAAAAAAAATTCTACGTATAACGATAATCAAGATGAGGTGTGATAATAAAACTACTAAATGTTGTTGCTGCATTCCCTTAAGAGCTGGGGTTATCATTATAACACTCTTAAGTCTGGTAAATATAAGTTATAAAGTAAACGTATACTTTATTTTTCAAACTAATATGGTTTTTAAAAAAATATTTAGATTGGAATAGTATATAGCTTTGTCAGTGATATATTATCAATAATAAGCGGTGATAGTAAGTATTCTTTTTCTAATTCATATTTCTTTTTTGTTATATGATAATTAATATCGTTAAATTTATTATATAGATAGTGCTGCAACAATTGTAGATTTAATTCTTAATATCATATTCCTTCCAATATTTATCTTTGGGGTTGCCGTTACTTGCTGTGCGGTATGTATTATAGATATGATTATGTTAGTATTATATCGTCAAATCAAGATGTGCCGTGCCGTTATGCGAATATTACAACTTTTGTTAATAGTTTAATATAATAATTATCTTGGCAAATTTCCGATATTTTATTATAATTTATTGAGAAAGTTTTATTAATAAAAAATAAGCAACTGCACATTGGTACTTTTGATTAACGATTTCATGTTATGGTCGCTAGTAGTTTGCTAACTTTTTTTTTTTTATTATTATTATTATATTTAAAGAAATCAGCACGTCTTTTAAGAATATATGCTATTATTTATAATATTTTCACAGTTATTGAAATTGTATATTACATAGTTTCAATCATTCCTATTATTGTATATAGAAATGATACTGTGAACGAATGTATTAACTTATTGGCAGCTAATGGATCTTCAATTAAAGATCCAGCAGGTTACTGTCAAAATGGATATAATCAGTATGAGGCTATATCTATTGTTATTTATATCTTAGTTATTCTTATCTTGGTATGTGTGACTTAATTATTTTATTTAATCAATTTAAATCAATAAGAAATTATTAATCATTCGTTTATTCTCTAAAGGTTCATTTTGCTTTGGTTGTTTCTGCTTATTCTGCAAGTCGCAAAGCTAAAGAAAATGATCGTTCAAGACAAGATGCTTCAGAAAACAATGCTTCTTTAACCCATGAAATTCCAGCACAAGGTGATGCTGAAAAAAATGAAAAATTTGAGAAAAATGAAAAATATTAAATAAGAAAATATGAGATTTTATCTATATATTATATAATTGCACAATAGGAATTTTTTTACCTCTCACTTTGATTAACAAAGTTCATTAGTTTATAACAGTTTATTATTAAATTCATTTGATGGTTTATGACATTTTATAATAAACATTTTATCATAATTTTTGAAGATTCTATATTATTAAAATATCATTTTTATAAAATCAGATCCATTTTCTTTTTCAGGAACAGAAGTTATAAGGGATAAATAAACAATTGGTGTAAATAAATAACTAATTTTGTCTGCAAAATCATTATCAAGAACAATTTCTTAGTCTAAAATTATTGCCAAAGGAGTTCTAAAAATAGATAATTATATAATCTATTTTTAGAATTCTTGGTTTACGCAATAAATAATCTATTTTTAGAATTCCTGGTTTTCACTCGAAAATACATCAATTTGCAAATCGCGATAATCGACCTTAGTGACTATAATATCATTAACTACAATTCAATTTTCTGTAAAATCTTTACGAGATTGAAAGTAATGGTATATTCTGCTTGTGCAAGTCAAAGCAAAATTCTTTTTTTATGTGTGGTTATATTGATGACTTAGTTAACTGAGTTCAGAAGTTGGTCTAGATTGCAACTACCGAGATCACAAATGACAAATGTGTTTTTTTACCTAATAAAGTTCTTGATTGGCTGATTTTGTAGATCATCCCGTGAAATTGCAAAAATATTAAACTGAAATTAATAAATAATTATCATAAAATCATAGTCATCTCAAAGTCTAGGGCCATTATCCCAGTACAAATAGAATTCTATAACCCAAGTTCCGATTAAAAAACATATTTGTAAATTTTTAAAAAAATTAAAATAAAATAAAATGAAAATTTATTAATAAAACATGATATTAAAATATTTTTAACCATAAAAACCAGTTTTATTTATGCTGAATTATTTTTCACCTTGATTCAAAATTAATAATTGTAAACATGACACGATGCTTTAACTTCTCATAAAATTCATAAACAATGTTTCATTGCTTTATGTCGCTAACTTAAATTCATTAGCAGTACGTATCTGTCTTTGGGATTATATGAGCTTGGTGCTGAGAAAAGGGACGAAATTGACAATTTAATAAAAAAATTTTATTCTATAATTAAAAATTGATTTTTACTATGGTTTATTATAGAATTTTTAGTATAAAAATTGATATTTTCACAAAATTTATCTTGTCATTTTCGTCCCTTTTATAAGTACTCATCCCATATATATTAAATTGTTAGAAATAAAATAATTATAAAAAAAAAACTTCTAAAGACGAATTGCTGAACGTAAAAGATTCATAAATCATATATTTATGCCTATTGGCTAAAATGAAAAGTGTCAAAATGACGCTGGACTAGAGTTTGGAACCGGGTCCAAACTCAACATGGACGCGTCCACTAATTAATTGAAATGTATAAATGGTATAAATGCACAGTTAATTAAGTCAGATAATTCAGATCCCTCATAAAAATAATGAATTTTATTCTCAACTATCATTGATACTCGAAACTTACCTGGTTGAGTAAGATGCCATCGTGTCCAATCTAAGTTGTGATTGGAGCTAAACCACACATATATTGTTGTGCTGCTCTCTCAACTAGTAGTAACATTATACACAAATTATAAAAATTAAAATTTTTAAAATTTATACAAATAATTATTCTTTGGAAGGATAAAAAAAAATATATCGACCCAACTTTCAATTAGGCATCAGCCACATTTTTTTTTATGAGCACAAAATACAACTTTTTATAACGAGAAGTACAACAATAACAAAACCACACTGTAATAAATAAATAAATAATGAAATTAACAATGAGGCTTTAATTACTGACTATAAATTAGCATCAATAAAATAAAATTGTAATATCACTTTACACGTGCAATAAATGTTTTAATTTTTAATAGTCGTAACGATATATTAGCACTACAAAAATTGCTTTTTTTTGGTCTGTGTTTTGATAATATGTACACTTATCAATCGATGAATTTTTTATAATCATTACTGCTATTATATTTCTTCATACTATGATCATTACCTTTTTCGCTATACTTCTAGCAATATTGTCATCAATTTTCGCATCATCTTCTCTCATGGACATCCTTGTCAAAAGTATATTCAAATGTTATATATATACTTATATCTTTTATTAGTTATTTTTATTTACTAAGGATTTTGAATTTTTAATGGCACGTCTGAAATCTGTGACAGGTTATGTCGATCATTGCTGAATGTAGCCAATAAAATCACAAGATCATGTGTAACT